TTATTTATTTCAAACTCGTTTGCATATTTTATTTTTTATTTTTTTGAAAAAAATTGAGACTACAATTGCAATTAATTCTTTATTTTTTTATTTATTTAAAGAGAATGGTATATTCGTCATTTCGCGAGACTTTATTAAGAAAATTGAAGAAAATGTTTTCCGTAAAGAAAAGATCATGTCAAAATAAAAGGATGGGAATGTATTTCATGGTAGGGACAAAGACCAGAATGTTTTGTGGTAATTACTCATTTAATTGTTTATAACTTATTTTCTTTTCATAAAAATTCAATTCTCGCAATCAAACACACGTTAGGGCGCACAGACCATTGTCCAAGTACCTATAGTAACATAAGAAGTAGAAATACTTTGGAGCTCAACGATGTAACTAAAAATAATTTTGCTTATTCACTGTATATTCAGACAGAAAAATTGTTAATTAAACTTTTCGCGATAAATATGTGAATAATTAATTTGGACTATCAAAATTAATGGGCTTTCAAATTTGTTTGGAAACAAAAGAGGATTTAGGGTATTTTGGCTAATGGATCAGTTTATTTATGGACCGGTCCATACGCATGGGCCCTGTACGTGGGGGAGAGAGTTTATCCTTGCATAAATGATTCATAAACTGGTGTCAATGGCTTGATCGGCTTGAGTCGTCCTACCAGCTCACCCCTTGGTGGGGCAAGCTGTGAACAGCCGACATACATCTTGTCTAACCATTTTTTTTAATTGAAAAAAATAAACAAATTATAAGAAAATTAAAAAAAAATTGAATTTCAAAACTTGAATCAGGCAGCCCAAGTGGAATGGAATTTATTTTGCAGATACGGTACAAGTTTCACAGTTTCCGAAAAACTGAAGGACGCGTTTATGGAATGAAATTTGGCCCATAGTTTCTGTTTCCTCATATTAGAATCCCACATTGTTTGCAAAAATATAAATAATCCACTTAATAAGGTGAGAGCAATTCTCCCATAATAAGCCGGTTTTATTAGGTGGAGTTATGCCCAACATTCCTAACATGGTATCAGAG